TGATCATTTTCAGGAGTGAGCCTTCAAATTTTCGTAGCAGACGATAAACATTGTTGTTTGAAAATTCAAAGACTACAGCGCGTTTTATATGACGTTGCTGATTGGTTGATATCTGTGGAAATTCAAGTTGGAGCCTACATTTTGCACAAAAAATGAGACAACTTCTGTGTGAGTCGGAGTCAGTACAAAATTCGTGTTTTTCGTGATAGTACTTAAATCTATTGCATTTCTTGAACGGGTCCTACATACGCATTATATATATATATATATATATATATATATATATATATATATATATATATATATATATATATGGGATATATATAAGGAAAAAAACTTTAATATTACCTTCCAATATTCCTCCATCTTAATTTGAAACCTAAACTTTAAGTAAGGAAGATTACCCATCTAAAAATAGTTACAAATTACATTCATGAATTAGATTCAAACTGATAAAGATGTTACCTTAACAGTCATTTACAATATTAAAATATTACTATCAGTAAACTGTTATATTTAAAAAAAAGTCTTTTAATGTGTGCTCTATGAACGTGTTAATAAATACAGTATTTAAATTATATTAAATCCCTAAGTTATTTGTAAAAGAGTTAAGTATTTAAATTGCTAGCAAGCATCAAATTAATTTCTTCGGGTTTTTTTTTTAACATTTAAATTACTATCAAGCATTAAAATCTATTTTTTTTTACATAAATTGCTAAAAATATACCACCTCTTTCTTCCTACATAAAACTTAATTACGGCTTCTTTCTCTTTACTTCCCTCTTCTTTCTTTTTTCTTTTTCTCTCTTCTCCCCTCCTATTTCAATATATCACTCCCGTTGTTAACCGTTTAAATAGGTCAAGGTCTCCTCCCCCAATACTAAGTATGATTGAAAGAAATATTAAAATAAACGCTCTCTAAACTCAACCATGTCTCTCCCACCACTCCTCCCTACCCTCTCTGTTAAATTGGTACTACCCCTCAAAAGTATGAATTTTCATTTCATCTTTCATTTCATTTTTGGAAGTGTTATCTGGTGATCCAGCGTCCTTAAAAAGGGCTCTGGTGAAATAAATTATTATAATTGAGCCTTAAAGTAGTCTTTTTTTTAATATATATATATATATATATATATATATATATATATATATATATATATATATATATATGTGTGTGTGTGTGTGTGTGTGTGTGTGTGTGTGTGTGTGTATAAAATATATAGAAAATAGGAAAGAACTCGTTAGATAAATAATCCAGAGTTCTGTAGTATTTTTGTTATTATTTTATTATGTTATTATTTAAAAAAAAATAGTGCTCGATAAAAAAGTAGAGCCTAAATATAATTATTTATTTTAAAATATGATTCCAACGCTACATAAGAGACATAACAAGAGCCGAAAACTTCAATATAATTATTTGAATTAAATCAAGCGAAATTTTTTTGGGATTCCCAAAAAAATTCCGCTTGAAGATGGAACAGAGCTTGGTACTTTAATTCAATTTAATTCAAATAATTATATTGAAGTTTTCGGGTCTTGTTTTGAAACATGAGAACTCTTATGTAGCGTTGTAATCATATTTTTGAATAAATAATTATATATATATATATATATATATTAACTGATTTAACATATGGTTTTTTCGCTACACAGGAATTAACATGTTTCAAAAACCGAAGCTAAAAGCTTCAAATTTAACTATATAATTAAATTAAAAGCATTAGTTCTGTTTCATCTTCAGTTAGTTAATTTATAAGTTCTTTTTTAATATATATATATATATATATATATATATATATATATATATATATATATATAGGCTGGCTACACGTTTCCTTTACACTCGTCTGTTAAGGTAGCGAGTTAATCCCTATTTCAGACACCCGCTCTCGCATATTACGTAGCCTCAACACCGAGAGGACAAACCTGTTTTTTTTTTATTATTGTAACTATGCTAAGCTTAGTTAAAATTTCTAGGTAAGGATGCATAATTCAGCAGGATCAGAAGATGAAAAGGACCAATACCTTCCAGTCACGATTACTTATGACTGAACAATTTCATCTACTCATTGACACTCACAGACCTTTGGTCAACCTGTGGCATGGTTTTCGTGCACTTCCCAAAGGTGTCACCCATTCTGGAATCGCCTCACTAAGCCGATATTATCAAGGTCTGCTTTAATAAGCTTTTTAAACAGACATCACAAATTTTCATAGACTGTTTTTTTTGCACATTTAAAAGTTCGTAATAAATTTTTCATTTATATGTAGAAATTAGATGTCTTAGCTATCTTTTTTTTTCTTTTCTTCTTCACTCTTTTTAATTTTATAACGTTGCTTCCTGGTTTTTTATACTGCAAAGGAATAGTCATTAATTTTTAACATAGCCTTATAATATTTAATTTAATCAGAAATTATAAAGTTAATACTATCATTTAAAAAGAACGAAAGAATAAGACTACCTATATCGAATATTTTGTAATGTTATTTTTCTGAGTTAACAAATCAATTTAACAATAAATATCCCCATCTTAGGAACAATTTTATCTCCTCTAGTTGTCATGTCCTTTAGACTAATTTGGAAATAAGTCACTTTACTTATAAGCCGTAAATGAACAATTTGATGTCCTTTTCAAATATGTTATATTTTCGTAAAAAACAAACCTTTTAAATTAAAACAAATAACTTTTCTCAAATTTTATTAAACTTAGTTACGGAATTTTTCCAAAACCTTTAAAACCTACTTTTAACAAATGTCACCTGATACAAACAATTCTATTCCTTTCATCCGCAAATAAAAATCGATAGACCATAAGTTTAAACATTAAATTATAGAGTGTTTTTTATCTAATATATTGAAAACAATTAGAATAACTCGACATAATGAGTCGAAAATGTTTTATCAAATAAATATTTTACTTAGTAAACTCGAATGATTTACCACGGAGACTGAAATCTTAACATCTTTCTTAAACAGGAAAAATCTTCTGACTAAAGAACGATTCAGAGGAAAATCTTCCCCAAGATCCCACTATAAAAAAGGACGTTAACACAACGCTAGTTGTAGATTTCAAATGAGAGTCTAATAGTTAAAAATTAACAGATTAACATTCTTTTTTAATTTTTCTTTAATAATCATTTTGAAAAATGGCTTTAATATTCATTTTCAATTTATTTCTTTTTTAAATAAAATTTTCAAAGTAGAGATTGTTTTGGTTTCTGTCCATATGTCAATAAGAATAGAACTGCATTTAGATAAAAAAAAAATACAACAAAAAGAAAATGAAAGAAAATCTGAGATGAATGAAAATGGAAAGCATTTCAAAATAAAACACGATTTAACGCGTTCAGTTTGGAATGTTTTGCGTTAAAAAAAGAACACTTCGAAAACGTGCGCTGATAAAGAAAGAAATGTCCTAAAACCGATTAAAATGGATTATTTTAATGTGAAAATAAAAATTTTAAATTCAGTTTAGAAAGAAACTGTGTCCTCTGTTCGGATGCCAACGCAGTCATCCTTATTTCCTTTGCTAAATTGCAACACTTATGACAGTCTAGACATCTACCTCAGTTTAACAGAACACAACGTCACAAGTACGAGGCACCCTGTGAAGAACAAATCATATTAATATTATATTAGTTTACTACAACAGTTTGACAACAATTACTGGTATTGTTTATAGAACTAACATACAAATCAGATAAAGAAAATAATTGTTATATTGGTTCAGCTGAAACACAATTCTAAAAAACAGATTTTATAATCATAAACTAAGTTTAAGTAGCAAAAATTACTGCTTTAAATATTACTGACAAATAAAAGATGATGGAATTGTACCAAACATTACGTAGGAATTAATGGTTAGAAAGAAATCTTACAATGGGAAAAGTGAAAGATGTAACATTTGCCTTTTTGAAAAACGCATTCTAAAAAAAAAAAAAAAAAATACCAGGCACTGTGATAACTGAAAATGAAAAATATGGTCGTGCCTATAATGTATGACGTACTTGGAACAGGATAAAATGACGAGAATCGAGATTGCATGAATCTGATATTCTTAGAAGAACTTTTACTGTCCCAACTACAGAGGTTATTGTGCCGTCAAAACTGCTAAGAGATTTGGTAGAAAATTAATGTATTTGATACTCGAGGTGAACCTGTTTAACTCGCAAAAAATGTTAGACGCACAGAATAGATATTCGCTGAGCTGATCTTCGGGGACAACAAAATTGCATTTGTAACTTAGTGCAAAGGAGACTGTCCTCTATTCAAATGCCAACACAGTAAGCCTTATTTCAATTTTTCTCGGTTTTATAACGTTAAAACTTTGCTAAATTGCAACACTTATGACAGTCTAGACATCTCCCTCAGTTTAACAGAACACAACGTCACAAGTACGAGGCACCCGGTGAAGAACAAATCATATTAGTATTATATTAATTTACGACACGGGACGGCGCCACATAGTTGCAAAAATTCTGCTTCCTATCAGTTGACATTATTTAAGGATAATAGTCGCGAGCAAACTAAGACAGTTAATTATACTAAATATTTATAGCTGTCGAATTCGATTTACATTGGGTGTGACACTTGTTCCATGTTAAAGGAAGTGAACTCTCTTTCTGATCAGATCCCATCGAGTTATGGCAAGAATATGGAAATGGTGAAGAGGATCAGTTTTTAAATAGCCTTCCTTAAATTAAGGCTGAACCTCTGAGCAGGAATATAGCATCCAATATAGTTATCGAAGCGTTAACAATTACTTTGTTTTGTTGGCGTTGACGTTTATGTCTGTTGGCTTACATGTAAAATGCGCGGGAAAAGTGAATCTTTTTGCTCGACTAATCTAACTGGTGATGATTAGCTAACTCTCACCGTTTGGGATTAAAATGTTGAAATCGGCGTTTTTAAGAGCCTGCATCTCAGTTATTTCGTTATCAATGCATCTGTCTGACTGTCGACATGACAGTTACCTAACTATCAATCAATCCACAGGTAGATCTTTCTACCTTGTTCTGTTTCTTTCTATCTATCTATCTATCTATCTATCTATCTATCTATGTCTGTTTCTAACTCCGTCTGTTCCTATCTATCTAAGTTCGTCTGTTCATATCTATCTATCTATCTATCTATCTATCTATCTATCTATCTATCTATCTAACACCGTCTGTTCCTATCTAACTCCGTCAGTTTCTATCTAAGTCCGTCTACTTCTATCTATCTATCTATCTATCTATCTATCTATCTATCTATCTATCTACGCCTGTTTCTATCTATCTGCTTCTATCTATCTAAATCGTCTGTTCTATCTATCTATCTATCTATCTATCGCCTCATTATCTATCTATCTAACACTGTCTATTCCTATCTATCTAACTCCCGCCAGTTTCTATCTAAGTCCGTCTACTTCTATCTATCTATCTATCTATCTATCTATCTATCTATCTATCTATCTATCTATCTATCTATCGACGTCTATCTCCGTCTGTTCCTATCTATCTAAATTCGTCTGTTCATTATCTATATCTATCTATCTATCTATCTATCTATCTATCTATCTATCTATCTAGTTTTATCTAAGTCCTATCCTATCTATCTATCTCAACGCAAATTTTTTTCATTTACCGAATGATAGACATAAAGAAATATTGAAAGAAAAACCTCAAATAGAAGTTGTTGATGTCGAAAACATTTCGCATTTATTTACCAGAGGCACACGTATATAATTCCGTATTTGCTTGTATCCACATTATATACACACCTATATGTATCCTGATACAACCTGATAAACTATGTCTATGGTCTATCACAGATTTGTGTTTAAGTGTTTCTTCCTGTTCGTTTATATATCCGTCTTTCTGTCTATTGTTCTTTAGAAAGTAAAGATTTTATTGCTTGTGTCATGAAAGCGAACACTTATAGGCATCAGGTAAAAAATGGCCGTTTTATTTTGACATCCTCAACTGAATTGAATACCAGGAATCGCTTTACGTGATCAAACTGAGCGACGGACATATTGTTAACATTGAAAGCATTGTGTTTATATGCAATTGCGACGGCGCATTTTTCTTTTGCACAGTTGTCAAGGAGATAGCAGATTTTAAATTATATCAAATCTGTCTGACGATTTAAGAATTAAGTTAAGACCAAAATAATGCTAACTTTCAATTAATAATAATAATAATAATTATATATATATATATATATATATATATATATATATATATATTTTATATTCTTTTTATATACAAATATTTAAGTAAACGCTCTATTTATAATAAACAGTATTAAATAATATTTTTGGCCTGAATGTCGAGAAATTTTTCATAGAAATGTCTTAGAATAAATGTTATTTAATATTGCTTATTAAAAACAGAGTATTTACTTAAATATTTGTATCTATAAAAGAATAAATATAAAATGTCTTATAATAATTGTCGGACTTTGTCCATTTCATAATGGTAACAAGGTCGAATTTACTGTTATAAACGAATATGAACGAATATTTTCTATGAAAATTTCTCGGACATTCAGGCCGGTAAATGTTATTTAATACTGTTTATCTAAAACAGAGCATTTGCTTAAATATTTGTATCTATAAAATAAAACGTTAAACATAAATAAAAAAATGTCTTTAATAAATAAATTGTCGGACCTTGTCCATTTCTTAAATATGACGTCATTTGTTTACATTCGATACGCCAGAGCAGTTATGAATACGAATTCATGGAAGATTGTAGTTTATAACAGTAAATTCGACCTTGTCTACCATAAGGTTTGGCCGAGTGGTTAAGGCATGTATATGACAGTTCCGTATAGGCTCGAATATGAACGAATATATGAAAATTTCTCGGACATTAGGCCGGTAAATGTTATTTATACTGTTTATCTTAGAGCATTTGCTAAATATATATAAAATATCAACGTTAAACATAAATAAAAATGTCTTTAATAAATATATATATATATATATATACACACACACATGGTGTATCAAAATACTTTTACAAACTTTAGGGCGGGTTACTCACACCAAAACAAGGGTAAAAGTCTGTAAAAAACATATATCCCCAAAACCTTCGTTTTTGAGTTATTAAGTGTAAAGTAAGTTTACGGTAGATGGCGCTGTGTTGCCGTGTAAATTAGGTTAAATTTGTCCCTCGGGTACATTTGTGGCTAGTCTATTTTCAACGTTTAACATTTGTAGCAGTTTGTTAACTGTGAAGTGTTCGTTTAACAATGGCAGGATATTCATATTGTAAGCAGGTAGATATGATTTTTACACACGGCCGCGCAAAAGGTAACGGACGTGAGGCTGCACGGCTGTATCAGATTGTGTTTACAGACCGAAGGCAGCCGAGTTATCCATCCTTTGCTGGTGTTTATCGTCGCGTTGTTGAAAAAGGATCGGTGGCACAGATGAAGGAAGACCAAGATTCGCACGTACGCCTGACCACGAAGAATATATTGTACAGGATGTCGGTGACGATCTAGGCATCAGCACACGTCAAATGCTTATATAAACTTATATCCTTGTTTTGGTGTGATGTGATTACATATATATATATATATATATATATATATATATATATATATATATATATATATATATATATATATATATATTGTGTGTATTTTAGCATCTTTTTCATTCATACCCGTTTCATTAAAGTAATATAGACAAGTGTTCTCTATTTATTTTATGTAAATTTTTTTCGTAACGTCTGATAAGTTTAATAACATTATCGTTGAACGAAGAAAGAAATTCACAATATTGATCCATATTTTTAATACAATCTAAGCTTTCGGCTTACTTAAGCCATTATCAAAAATGTCAATTATAACATATTAAGCAATATACGGACAAGACAGTGAAGATAGTCTGTCATTGTTTACATAGATGATTTCTAAGCAATTTAATGAAACGTGTATGAATATATATATATATATATATATATGTGTGTGTGTGTGATCAATGTATATTTAGGCAGCAACCTTTCCTTTAAACATATTTAAATATATATTTTAAATATGGCGGGCAAGGAAAATTTTATTAATATTTTTATTTCAGTTTTTCCAGCGTTCTTACATTTTTTTCTGTTTGGTGGGAGTAACTGATTATGAAAAACTTGTATCTGAAATAGACACCATATTTTTATTTCAAACTGAGTATTACGTCTATCGGTCTACACATTTGGGGAAATCTTAATAAAAAATAACTTGCCTTGTAAGAGTTCCCCGTTAGACATAATGCATACGATCTAAAATAAAAAAAAATGAGACGTCTATTTCATATACGAGTCTCATAACATTGAGCACTGTATTTATAATACCCGTGGAAGAAATATATTTATACATCCGTAAATTTTTTTCCTGTGTGTAATGTATGTTTTTTATAAATACGCATAACGATATAAACACGGGTGTTTTGATTTATTAATGTTTTTTGAAATTTCTTTGTCAAAGGTTTTCTTTTTATGTATTTTAGATACTCTTCATTATTTTTTTAATTAATATTTGAATCTTATATCTTTCATAACATTAAAAAAAGGTTTTGTTTGATAATGTTGTGACAATATGTATGTATGTATATATGCATTGCAATACTTACAAAAACATGACGTGTGCGGACGCAGTATTTTAAAAAAAGATAAAGTATAGCACAAAAAAACACAATACATGAATTTAGTAAATCTTGTCTGGGTAGTTCTATAAGCTAGAAACCCACCGTATATTTATATATTGCCATCTCAGAATTTGTAGCATGCTATATATATATATATATATATATATATATATATATATATATATATATATATATATATATATATATATATATATATTATCAGTAGCTACAGCATCATCATTCAACGCAAACTTCAGCTTGATGAAGATTGCGTTTTAAACAAAAAACAGACTATCGTTCCTTGGTGCTGACTTCAGTGTTCACTTTTTATATTTACATACACTCTATCCTGATATTGTACACTTTAACCATAAATAAAAACCTATATATATATATATATATATATATATATATATATTCTTAAAAGCAATTAAAACATCTCTTATTAATAACGTCTTAGTTTTGTTATGTTTTTTGTTTTGTTTTTTTTATTATTCAGAACAAGTTTTCGGTAAGATGAGGTCCGATTTTTCAAAAAAAATTCGGTGATTTAAATTCTTCAAAAATCCTACTCTTAATAATATAATCAGTAAAATTTATCACGTTGAATTTCTCAAGTTTTCATAAAATTAAGTCGGTGAAACACATGTAAAAAAAAACTATTTTTACCAAGATTTTCTAATAAACCAAATTTAAAAAATAATTAAATTTAGTTGTGAATAAGTCCTGCAATTTTCATTAAAATCCGCCAATTATTTAATTTTTGCAAGAATTTCCAAATTAATGTGTCTGTCAGCGCAAAAAGAGGCTAAAATTTTCTATGCTCAAAGTTAGTGCGCAAGAAAAACAAGTTATATATATATATATATATATATATATATATATATATATATATATATATATATATATATATAAATTTATTTAAAAAAAAAAATTATAAAATTATACAAAAACCATTTTGTTTCAACACATCCAGTGTCTTATCAAATGATGATGTTGAATGTCAACATCATCACTTGATAAGACACCGGAGGTGTTGAAACAAAATGCTATTTTTGTAACGATTTTATAACATATTTATGCTATAATTTTTTAAATAAATAATTATATCTGCTCTACTCTGTATTGAGCACTCTTTTAAGAATAGTAATTGTTGGTTAATTCATTCCGTATACACCAATTATATACTTGGATATATATATATATATATATATATATATATATATATATATATATATATATATATATATATATATATCACTTTCGACAACATTTAAAACAAATTTCATTTTCATACAGATTCTCTTTTTAGAAGTGTTTTGTAGTTTATCGGAGTTTGCAGAAAGTGTCCCTTTCACAAATATTTTACCTCATAATTCTTCACATTTTAGATACAGTGATGATACTATATAATATATTCACATGACAATTTTAGCAAACATTGTAAATAAACTTAATAACCTTGAACTGAAAATAGATTTTACTTTGAAACCGAAACTAATAACGCATTAACCTTCCTAGATATCATGCTAAAGAGAACCAATGATGACCTCCAGCTAAAAGTTTACAGAAAAGTCTACGAACCAAAATGGCCTCAAAGTATTATTCTCACCTCTGTAATAGAATAAAATTCGGAGTAATTATAGGATTCTATTTAAGTGCATTAAGCACCTGCAGCTGATCATATTTACTTGAAGAAGAGATATCTATTGAAATTACTTTTAAAAACCTAATATCCTTACTGTTTCATACACAATGCTAAAAGAAAAGTATGCAAAATCTACAACAAAAACGGTAATAAAAGCAATAATAAATTAGACATAAATATACATATAATATTATCTATCAACTCATTAACATCTATTGAAGATAATAATATACAATCTTGATATTAAAATAATTACAATTACACTCAACACTATATATAGATATGATTAAATTCAC